ACATTCATTTCCTTGTACATCTCCATCAGAATCTTGGATGGCTAGGTGCGTTGTCAACGAACAGTAATGTTTTGAAAGGAATCTTTGTTTTTGAGCAGTAGTTCTCAACAGTAAGCCAATAATTTTCAGTAAACCATGCTGTAAACAGGCGTACTATCATCCAGTCCTTGTTGTTTCATTTATAAAGCACAGACAGAGTAGATTTAGCATTTTTAAGGACCCTGGGATTTTTGGAATGGTAAATCAGTATTGGCTTCAACTGTAAATCCCCAGCCTCAGTAGCCCTTAACAAGAGAGTTAAGCCTGTTTTTTTAAGATTTTAAGCCAGTTACTGACTTCTCTCTAGCTATGAAAGTCCTAGGTGGGATCTTTTTCCAATTAGGAGGCTGTTTTTGCTACAGTGAAAATCTCTTATTTACTGTGGCCCCTTTCATCAGTGATCTTAGCTAGATCTTCTGCATGGGCACTTGCTGCTTCACCTTGCACATTTATGTTGCAGAGATGGCTTCTCTCCTTAACCTGATGAGCCAACCTCTGCTAGCATCAGACTTTTCTTCTGCAGCTTCCTCACCCCTCTCAGCCTTCGTGGAACTGAAGAGAGTTAGGCCTTTGCACTGGGTCAGGCTTTGGCTTAAGGGAATGTTGTGGATGGTTTGATCTTCTATCCAGACCACTGAAACTTTCTTTATATCAGAGATAAGCCTGTTCTGCTTTCTTAGCACTCATGTGTTCACTGGAGTAGCACTTGCAGTTTTCTTCAAGAACTTTTCCTTTGCATTCACACTTTGGTTAACTGTTTGGCCCTAGAGACCTAGCTTCGGGCTTGGCATCTGTAGCTCAAGCTCCGAGGGCACCAGCCACATACACCGGAACTGGTGGGTTTGAATCCAGCCCCAGCCCACCAAACAACAGTGACAACTGCAGCAAAAAAATAGCTGGGTGTTGTGGCAGGCGCCTGCAGTCCCAGCTACTTGGGAGGCTAAGGCAAGAGAATCGCTTAAGCCCAGGAGTTGGAGGTTGCTGTGAGCTGTAACGGCACTCTACAGCTTGAGACTCTGTCTCGAGAAAAAAAAAAGGAGGCCTAGCTTCCAGCCTATCTCAGTTTCGACACGCCTTCCTCACTAAACTTAATAATAGTTTCTATCTTTTTATTTCACTTGGAACACTTAGAGGCCATTGTAGGGTTATTAACTATCCTAATTTCAATATTGTTACCTAAGGAGATAGAGAGAGACGGGGAGATGACTGGCTGGTAGAACAGTCAGAACACATACATATTTATCTAAGCTTGCTGTCTTACGTAGGTGTCGTCTGTAGAACCTAACGAACGAAAAATAGTGACAGCAGGTCGGGCGTGGTAGCTCATGCCTATAATCCTAGCACTCCGGGAAGTCGATTTGGGTGGATTGTCTGAGCTCATAAATTTTAAAACCGCCTGAGCAAAAGCAAGACCCTGTCTCTACTAAAAATAGAAAAACTGAGGCAGGAGGATCACTTGAGCCCAAGAGTTTGAGATTACTGTGAGCTATGACGGCACAGACTCTACCCGGGGTAGCAGCTTAGACTGTCTCAAAAAAATAAAAGGATAAAATAAAATAGTGACAGCAAAAATAAAATAATAATGAAAAGGTTTGAAATACTGCAAGAATTACCGAAATGTGACACAGAGACACAAAGTGAGCGCGTGCTGTTCATGGCTAGCCTTGCTCAACTCAGGGTCGCCACAGACCTTCAACTTGTTCCATGTGCAAAGTGTAGGAGAGTGAGACTCGGTTAAGCACTGTGTACCTGTACTGAGCTTAGGGGTTTTCTCAGAAAGAAGTGATCACTAAACATAGTAGTTATCATTTAGTTTCCATGTACAGTTTTCCTAAGATAACATTTCTGTTTGTACGGAATCTCATTATTACCAAGGGATTTGGTTATTTGTCATATGCCTTATTACCTGGGCATCGATTTGTCAAACTGATTTCCTGTGACTGATCGGCCTAGACTTTGTATGGGCCTGGGAGCATAATGAGCCCTGCTGGGCTCTCCAGGACTCCCAGGTTCTCTGACCCTCCCAGCCAGATCCCATTCTCAGGCCCTTCGTTGGTGCTCACTAGCCCTTCGGCTTCTTTGACTTTATTTTTTATCCTTATCCTGCCAGGCTCCAAGCTTAGATGAGTCCTTGATGGCCTTTCTCCCCAAAGTGAGCAGGAGCTTGACAGCTTCCCTTCTCCCCCCCACCCCCGACCCCCGTCAGCCCTGCCTCCCCACCGTCACGTTCCTCACGCCCCATAGCTCAGCACTTCCCCTTTTCTAGCCCTTGAGGATCATGTGCTTACTGTCCTGTTACTAGAGCTCCTGCTCCCCTAATTTTTTAGTGCAAAAGCTTTGCCCTCCTTCCCTCCACACTTCCTGTCCCCCCTTTTCTAGCCCCAGCTTCTTTATCAGTGCTTTGGAGTTCTTCTGCCTTTCCTGAGCCCTTTCTCCAGCACTGGGGAAAAAAAGATTTAAGTATCATTTAAATAAGTAACACTAACACATGTACATGGTTTTAAAATTTCAAGTAGTATAGAAGAATTTACAGAGGCAACTACTTAATGCTAGTTTGTGTGTGTGTATGTATTCTTCCAGAAATGTTATATGCATAAACAAATATATTCTCATCTGTAATTCCCTCCTTTCCTCTCTGTTTCTTTTTCTTTTTTTTTTTTTTTTTTTTTGAGACAGAGTCTCACTATGTCACCCAGCCTAGAGCACTGTGATATCATAGCTCACAGTAGCCTCAAACTCTTGGGCTCAAGAGATTCTCTTGTCTCAGCCTCCTGAGTAGCTGGGACTACAGGTGCTTGCCACCATGCCTGGCTGGTTTTTCTATTTTTAGTAGAGACAGGATCTTGCTCTTGCTCAGGCTGGTCTCAAACTTCTGAGCTCAAGTTTGAGTTCCTCACCTCCACCTCCAAGAGTATTAGGATTATAGATGTAAGCCGCTATGCCTGGCCTCTCTCCATTTTTAAAAACATAAATGCTATACACGTAGTCTGGATATCACTGTTTTAGTATATTGCTTTGTCTTGGAAGTCAGTTCATATCAGCACGATAGACCCAACTCATTCTTTTAATAGATACAGAAAATACAATTGACTGTAAAAATAGCACAGTTGAATTGGCCGCCTGTTGAAGGGTATGCTTTGCAGCCTTTTGTTGCTGGGAGCAGTGCTTCAGCGAGTATCTGTGAACATCGGTCTTGGTACCCAGGCACAACTGTATCTGGGGGCAGTGCTTCAGCGAGTATCTGTGAACATCGGTCTTGGTACCCAGGCACAACTGTATCTGGGGGCAGTGCTTCAGCGAGTGTCTGTAGAACATGGGTCTTGGTACCCAGGCACAACTGTATCTGGGAGCAGCGCTTCAGCGAGTATCTGTGAACATTGGTCTTGGTACCCAGGCAAACTGTATCTGTATGGAATGTCTTAGAAGGGGAATTGCTGGATTGTCCTTTTATTACTGCCCCTCCAGTCCATTTATTCTTGTGTTATTGATTTTTTATAGATATTTGTCTTAAATGTCTGCCACCTTTTAAAAACATTGATCTCTTTATGTTTTTCTTGAAAGTTCTGGGAGAACATTCAAGGCATTCTGGTTCCCTGTTTGCTTTCTACAGCTATGTACGGTTTCTGCAGTCCCTGCATTCCTGAATGTGATAATCAGTGTTCGCATCTAAGGACTCCTTACTGTCCTCGTGGTGTTCCCTCGTCGGGACTACTGGCCTTTTATCTTCTAATGTTTCTGTTAAAAGATAATATACATACAAAAAAGTGCTTTCCAGAAAAGTACACCAATCTTAGTTAAATGTTCAACTTGATGAACTCTCAAAAAGTATTTCTTCTGTAGCCAACACTCAGATAAACAAAGAATACTAGCACCCTCGACTGTCCGTTGGGCCCCTTAGAGTACTGCTCTCTCCGTAAGTAACTGCTGACTTGACTTCTAACACCGCAGATGGGTTCTGCCTGTTTTCTTTTCACTTTATACAAGTGTGGTTATACAGTACATACTGCTTCTCCCTTCTTTTGTGAACACGTTGTTTGATGAATGTAGTTCTCATTACTGTGTAGCATGAATATACAGTATTGTCGATGGACACTTCTGTGGGTTTTTTTTTTGAACCATGAACAGTGCTGCTATGGGCACTTTTGTGTCATCTGATGCATGTATGTGCACATTTTTGTTGGGTGTATATATCTGGGAGTAGAGTTGCTGGATCATAGGGCATATAAGTGATAAATTCCTAAAGTGACCGTTTTGCACTTCCAGGAAGGTCCTAGTTCTTTGGCATCTTTGCCAGCAGTTTATATTCTCTGCCTTCTTCATTTGAGCCTTTTTGGTAGATATGAAATAGTATTTTCATTCTGGTTTTAGTTTTCATTTCTCTGACCACCTGTGACACTGAGCACATTTCCGTGTTTATGGGCTCTTTGGATGTGCTCTTTTGTGAAGTGCCTATTGAAATTTATTTTCCATTTTAGAATTATTTTTAAAAATACATGTGGCTCACTAGTAGTCACATTTGTGACAGAATCCTTTCGTCCCTCCGTTTCTTTATCCTTTTGGATTTTTTCTTGGTTCTCACTTTCTGTTTCTTTTCTAACAAAAGCAAACTTCTATACCAGTTGTACCAGTACCCAAACCCAGGTCTTCAGAATTTGCAGTGAATTTGCATGAAATAAGTTTATTTTATTTAGGCGTTTTCACAAAATACATGTATTTTATTTGCGGGAAATAATGACATCTGAACTGAAAGATATTCTTTCTATGAAGGAAAAAGATAAATACAAAGCCTTCCCAGTTTTTGCCTAGCAGATTGCGTTTTCTTCAGATTGTATTGTCTCCATATTTAATTCTCATTTTAGTTTCATTTTTGAAAAGTACTTATTAATAAATAGAAGCAGAAGTCTTTTAATACACAATTCCAAATCTGCAACCTCCTTTTTAAAAATATAAATATTTTACAGGTTCTTGATCAATACGAACGAGACGGATTTAATTTCCTAGCCAAGGTGTTTAATTCTTCACATTCCTTCTTAGAAGACTTGACCGGTCTGACATTGCTGCATCAAGAGACCCAAGCTGCTGAGGTAAGAACAAAACAAACTTTTTCTACTGAGGACTGATACATTCAAAGCCTGTTTGATATTCAGCATTATGGAAAAGGAAGAAAGCAATTAATTGACTTTTTTTTACTTAGAGCACATATAGCTAAAATGTCTGCTAATATTAGAGAACAAAGAACATTCAGCAATTGCTGGATGCTGATGTGTATAGGTTGCTGTCCTATAGGTGCCTAATGCACAAAATTATTGATAAAGGAATTGGCTATGATTGCCAAGTACCTCTTGTCCTTACTGAAGATCTGCGTGTGTGTATGGCCTTTGGAGAATTGGCTTTAATGTTCATATAAAAAAAAAGGTCAGTGAAGACATTGAACTTGACCATGTTCTTAAGAAAGAACAGATTAGGCTTGGCACCTGTAGCTCAGTGAATAGTGCACTGGCCACATACACCAAAGCTGGTGGGTTTGAGCCCAGCCCAGGTCTGCTAAACAACGACAACCGCAACCAAAAAATAGCTGGGCATTGTGGCGGGCACCTGTAGTCCCAGGTACTTGGGAGACTGAGGCAAGAGAATTGCTTAAGCCCAAGAGTTTGAGGTTGCTGTGAGCTGTGACGCCACAGCACTCTACCAAGGGCAACACAGTAAGACTCTGGTCTCAAAAAAAAAAAAAAAATGGAAAGAAAGAACAGATTGGACTCTTGGCTGTGTTTTTCAGAAGGAACGTGCCTCGCTTGTATTTTACATTCTGATCAGACTTCTTAGGCCCCTGAACTCCAGCATGAAATGGCTTCCCCAGTCACAACTGAGAGGGTTATTCCTGCTCAGCTAGAGTATCCTGCAGATCTTAATTTCTTGGGTCATTGCATCTTTTTTTTAAAGACTGAGTTTTAAAAGTAGATTATCATTTTGTTTTTTCAAATGCTTACTGTTCTTAGAAATGAATATGCCGTGTATGGTAGTAGAGCTATTCAAGTCACTTGGCAAAATGTACGATTCCTCAAAATGGATGAGTGAGATTTAAATGAGATCAATTCAACAGCTTTCTCTTAGTTACCTGATTGAAGGTGCAGGTTGGAGAAACATGGCCTACATTGTATCTCTCTAGGCTACATAAGGAAAACGGGGGCTGCCTGTGTTCTGCAGGGTGGCACACCTGCAAACTTGCCTCTATCTTATTCACTGATTAACCTCCACTTCTTTCCACCCTTGGGTTGTATGGCCTTACCACTGGGGTGGTCTCATGTAGCTGGTGAATAGATGGCCTGGCCCAATATGGACCAGCCAGTGATAAAAGGGCTGCTATTTGGAAGGGAAGCGCTAACATGGAGTATAGGAAAGCCATGTGGAAATATTAGAGTCAAACTCCCTGGATCGTTGAGACAGTGGGGGGTGAGCTTTTCAGGCACATGAAGGAGGCAAGATAGGGCATCTCTACTTCCAGACTTAGAACTGAAGCCAGTTCTTTAACTTGCTCTCATGTTCTATGGGCAGAATGAATTTTCCACGTACAGCCAATAGTTAGAACCACTGGGAATCTCTTATCTTCATTTTCAGGAGATGAATGACATCTCTGCAGAACTCTGAGATATTTTGAGATTCCCCCACCCCCAGAATTTTGGTTGAGTTCCCAAGCAGGGTTCAGAGCACTATTTTGATTGCCTGTCATACTGTCTGGTGAGCAGCATTGTATTCCCTGATGGTCTGGGATAGTAACTTACAGATCCTCGCAACCGTGCAGTCATTTGATGAGATGGCTTGGGGGAGCTGAGCTACCTAGCTGGAATAACTTATGTTGGCCAGAAGAATTATAGCTTGAAATTAACCCCATATTTCATTCTTTAGAACAGAACAGATGCTAGGATAATGGGTAGATTCCTGGATTTAACCTGGTATTATTTTGCATCTTAGTTGGCCAAATATTAATAGCTGTTCTAAATAGATGGTAGGGCAAAAGAGAATATGGTTTCACCCATAAGTCTGAGGTTTTTTTAAGTTTTTCTCCATTAAATTATGTTTAGGGTTTTGGGATCATAAGGCACACATCAAATTTTCAATTAGAAGTGGTAAACTAGCTGGCCTATGAGCCAGCTATGGCTTGCAGGTGCACTGTTTTTGGCCTGTCCTATGTGTTAAATTTTGAAGAAAGCCAACATTTAAAATCATGAGTTTTACATAAAAGTCTGAATTTTCTCATTTCCAACTTCTTTAAAAAATTAGATCCGGCAATTCCAGACCTGCATTCCTTAATCATGATGGTTAACTAGAGCTGAGAAGCAAATTTCATAGCTAAGTAGTGCACTCGATACAAAATTTAAAGGTATGAAAATATTCTGTGAGAAGGAAATCTTCCTTCTGCACCTGCCTGTCCCTGAGCTCCCACAATTCCCTTCCTGGAGACAAACCCTGCTGTGCATTTCTTGCCCAGAGGTGGCATTCTCCGTCTAAGTATACTCTTCAGTTAATGACCCTTATAGATATTTGCGTCTGTAACCTCTGTCTCAGAATAGGATTATTATATTCTTCTTACCTCTAAACAGGACTGTGTTTTAAGATAAGGTCTAAAATGCAATACTCTCTAGAGGACCTTGTAGGAACAGAATTTATCCTGCCTACATCATTTTGTGTTGCTTTGAATAATTGTGTGTGTGTGTGTGTGTGTGTAAGCAGAATATATATATATTAAAAAACATACACATTTGTATGAAGGTGGTGTTTGATTTATGTACTGACCCCCAATGCATTTAAAGATGTTCAGAATTAAAAATAGAAAATTTTGCATTCTATGTAGAAAAGTTTATTTATTTTAGCAATATATATATATTACATTTATATAATATGCTGATTTCTTATTTTTGGGTTAACTGTTTTCATCAATCAACATTGTAACTACAAAATAGTCAACTAGATAATTAAATGACAGAATCATTATATATCTTGTTTATAAAATATGTATTTAAAAATTTACTGAACATATTTTGAAAATTTAATACCAAACACTACATTGCACCTGAATCCAGAAGTTGATGAGATACCAACTCTCATGGGCTCCTCATCTAGTGTGAGAAGCTGAAATGTAAATAAGATGTAAATAGTGCATGCTTACATGACCAAAAATGTTTTAGTCATTTATAAAGTGCCGAGAGGCAATTTACTTCTGCCAGGAGAATAGAGATTTCAAGGAACAGAACAAGTATTTTAGTTAGTTTTAAAGGACAAATAGGGTACTTTTAAAAATAAAAGTTGTGGCTGATCACAGCGGCTCACACTGTAATCTCGGCACTTTGGAAGACTGAGGCTGAAGGATCTGTTGAGGCTGGATGTTTAAGACCAGCCTGGGCAACATACTGAGACGCTTATCTCTATAAAAAGTTAGAAAAACAAAAACTTAGCTGGGAGTGGTAACATACTTCTCTAGTCCTAACCACTCCGAAGGCTGAGGCAGGTAGATAGCTTGAGCCCAGGGGTTCGAGATTGCAGTAAGCTATGATCACACCACTGCACTCCAGCCTGGGCAGCAAAGTAAGAACTGCTTCCCCCTCACCCCTCAAAAATAAAATAAACCCACAAAGTTGTATTTTGGCAGAGGAAGAGTAGGGAAAAACTCTTCTTCCCTAGGAAGAAGGGCAAGAGGCCTAGGGCATTCTAAACTGAATCAATGTCGCCAAGGCCAAGAATCTTTAGTGTGTTATTCAAAATCTGGTGGTCTGATGTTACTGGAACCTGAGTTACCTGAAATGAAGATAATGTTTTTTGGCTCGGCACCTGTGGCTCAAGCGGCTAAGGCACCAGCCACATACACCTAAGGTGGCGAGTTCAAATCCCCAGCCCGGGCCGCCAAACAACAATGATGGCTGCAACCAAAAAAGAGCCGGGCGTTGTGGCGGGCGCCTGTAGTCCCAGCGACTTGGGAGGCGGAGGCAGGAGACTCGCTTGAGCCCAGGAGTTGGAGGTTGTTGTGAGCGTGTTGCCATGGCACTCTACCCAGGGGGATAGCTTGAGGCTCCGTCTCAAAAAAAAAAAGAAGAAGATAATGTTTTTCAAACAACACTTTATTGAGTTAGAGTTTACATGCCATAAAACACACCCTTTTAAAGTGTACAATTTAGGCTCGGAGCCTGTGGCTCAAGTGGCTAAGGCGCCAGCCACATACACCTAAGGTGGCGGGTTTGAATCCAGCCTGGGCCCGCCAAACAATGATGGCTGCAACCAAAAAAGAGCCGGGCGTTGTGGCGGGCGCCTGTAGTCCCAGCGACTTGGGAGGCGGAGGCAGGAGACTCGCTTGAGCCCAGGAGTTGGAGGTTGCTGTGAGCAGTGATGTCACAGCACTCTACCCAAGGGGACAGCTTGAGGCTCTGTCTCAAAAAAAATAAATAAATAAAGTGTACAGTTTAATCATTGTTAGTATTTTCAGAGTTGTCCAACCATTACCACTCTGTAAGTTAAGAACATTTGCATGGCCCCTAAAACAAACTCTTTACCTATTAAGTGGTACCCTCCTCCTTTTGTCCTCTGGCTACCACTAATGTACTGTCTGTATGGGTTTACCTATTCTGGATGCATCACATAAATGGAATAATATACTATATGATCTCTATTGGTATCTCTATGACGTTCTTAAGATTCATCCATGTTGTAGCAATCTACATAGTTCTTCTTTATTTAAAGAAAAAAGTTTTGATGCCAGCAAAATTTTTCATATTATTTAGCACTTGTGGTCTGTCTCCCCTAAATATAGACCTTTTATGAAGGAGGAGGAAAAGCCAGTACCACTGGGGACTATAAATTCCTTCTTACTCATAGAATGAGCACATAATCATGGAGTAGAAGATATGTCCAAGATAGAATCCCCCGGAGTTAGTGGGATTGATGAATGCCACCATCATTATTGTTGGGGATTCATTGAGGGTTCAAGAAACCAGGTTACACTGACTGCATTTGTTAGGTAAAGACCCTCTTACAATTGTGTCTTGCCCTGAAAAAGTGTGTCACACACCAAGACCCCACTGCTTCCCTCCTTCCCTCC